TATAAATGATCCCAGAATTCTGTGTTTTTGTTTTTTTTTTTTTTGAGACGGAGTCTTGCTCCATCTCCCAGGCTGGAGTGGAGTGGCGTGATAAGACTGATCATACCTACCTTTCTTTCTCAGTTATTCCTGTAGGTGTGTATCAGCTTCCAAAATCAGAAAAAGTAATATTCCAGAGTCTGTAGTGTATGATTGAGGCCAACTGCAGAGTCCAAGAAAGCACTTTCCCATTTAGTGTTCTGAGTTTTTTGTTCTTTAATAAGGCCATCTGTATCCTGTCTGACCTTGGATTTAGCAGTGTTTTCATTTACCTATCTCTCCCTTAGAAGGCCAAGATGGGACCCTTACTACCGAGGGAGCATCACTGCACCCTCTCCTTTTAAAAAAAAAAAAAAAAAAAAAAATATATAAAAAAAAAAAAAAAAAAAAAAAAAAAAAAAAAAAAAAAAAAAAAAAAAAAAAAAAAAAAAAAACAAAAAAAAACAAAACCCTCTAGTAGCTTCTGGTGGCAGGGGCGGGGTGGGGGGGAGGAGCAGAGATGAAAGCACTTTTGAATTTTCCCAGTGGGGAAAAAGGTTTGTTCCTTAATTAGAGGTAGCCTGGTAAATGCTAGCAGTTGTACAGGTGCCCCAGGAAAGTTGGAAAAGCTTAGTTCTGTGCTCACTGTGATACTGTATTCCCTACTGCCATGGGTAGCCAACGTAGCATACCAGCTGGCGTTAGGAAAACTGGCTGAGAGCTCACAGAGGCTCTGCCAAGGAGATCGATCTTTCTCTGTGATGTCTGTAGCTCATTTGGCCTTCTCCAGGTTACTACTTGAGTCTCTTCAGAAGTTAAGAGTTTAGCCGGGTGTGGTGGCTCATGCCTGTAATCCAAGCACTTTGGAGGCCAAGGCAGGCGGATCACTTGAGGGCGGGAGTTCAAGACCAGCCTGACCAACATGGTGAAACCCTGTCTTTAAAAAAAAAAAAAAAAGTTAAGAGTTGAATCCTGAAACATTTTCAGAGAGTGGTGCTAATTGTGATTTCTGGGTCTAATTCTGGAAATATCAACTGTAGAATTATATTGGAATTTACATTTAAGAAAAAGCCAGATCCCAACCAGTAGTGTCCAGAAAACAAAAAGAAAAAGCCAGTTGGTAATCAAAAAGTGTGGGTGGTTTGAAGATTTTCAATAAAAGGCCTTCACTCAGCCGCCAGGTCACTGGAGGATTTCTTCATACTGACATCTCTGCTTTCTAGAAAGGGTTGTGGGGAGAGGTTGCTTAATTCCTGTTTCATCACAATCCTTATGACCTTGCCACAGTCTGAGCTCGTTCCCTACCATTTCTACCCTAGCAGGATCTGATTCTTTTTTTTTTTTTTTTTTTTTTTTTNATATATATATATATACACACACACACACACACACAAACACACATATATATACATATATATGTATATATATTTTTAAATTTATATAAATATGTATATATGTATATATAAATTAAATTACCTCTTGATTATAGCCATTGTAACCCTTAGAACCTACTGAATGTGCTATTAAAAATGGAAACTGGTATGGCTGCGCGCAGTGGCTCACGCCTGTAATCCCAGCACTTTGGGATGCTGAGGAGGGTAGATCACAAGGTCAAGAGATCGAGACCATCCTGGCCAACATAGTGAAACCTCATCTCTACTAAGATATAAAAATTAGCTGGGCGTGGTGACGCGCATCTGTAGTCCCAGCTGCTCGGGAGGCTGAGGCAGGAGAATTGCTTGAACCCCGGAGGCAGAGGTTTCAGTGAACAGAGATCGCACCACAGCACTGCAGCCTGACACCTGGCGACAAAGCAAGACTCTGTCTCAAAAAAAAAAAAAAGAAGAAAACTGATAATAGCCTAGAGTTAAAGAGTGAGCATAGGCTTTGGCAAAAGTCAAATCTGGGTTTCAATCCTGGGCTCTGCTATCATTAATAGATTAATGACATCTGTAGGTTAAATGACAACCTCAACAAATTAATAACAATCTGCCTTTTATATGTTCAACAATTATTTGTGGAAAGCTTACTAAGTGTTAGTAGATGCTTTTCTAGATATAATAATTAACAAAACGAACCAAAGGTCTGTTCTTAAGGAGTTTATATCCTAGTGGGGTGGAGAGAGATGGAAATAAAACAGCCTAATGATGGTGGTAAAAAGTGAGGGGAATAGAGGAGTTAGCAACAGGAAGGGCCCGAGCCTGAGAATTGTTTGGGAGGAATTGTCGAGTTCAGGGTCTCAGGACAGATTTTAAAAGAAAAAAAATGAGAGATATAAGGATACTGCTTAAGTCATGGAGGTCAAAGAAGCCCTTCCCTTAGGAATTGACATTCATGCAGAAACCTGAATGAAGTGAGAGAACTAGAAAGACACCTGGGGCAAGAACATTCCAGGCCAAGGGAATGGAAAGGACAAAGCCCTGAAGCGGAAGTGTGTTTGGCTGTTGAAGGAGCTGTAGGGAGACCACTGTGGCTGGAAGTAATAAGTCAGCAAGAGCCGGGCGTGGTGGCTCAAGCCTGTAATCCTAGCACTTTGGGAGGCCGAGGCGGGTGGATCACGAGGTCAAGAGATCGAGACCATCCTGGTCAACATGGTGAAACCCCGTCTCTACTAAAAATACAAAAACATTAGCTGGGCATGGTGGCGCGTGCCTGTAATCCCAGCTACTCAGGAGGCTGAGGCAGGAGAATTGCCTGAACCCAGGAGGCGGAGGTTGCGGTGAGCCGAGATCGCGCCAGCACTCCAGCCTGGGTAACAAGAGTGAAACTCCGTCTCAAAAAATAAATAAATAAATAAATAAATAAAAAATAAAAATAAGTCAGCAAGAGAGGGCAGGGTTGGTCAGAAGGTGAGGTCAGAGAGCCGGTAGTAATAGATAATGGAGGGCTTTGGGGTCCATGTTAGGATTTTGTATTTTGTCCTCAGATGGAAAGTCATTAGAGATACTTGAGATGCTCTGATTTCCAATTAAAATAATTAATTGGCTGGGCGCATTTGCTCACACCTGTAATCCCAACACTTTGGGAAGCCAAGGTGGGTGAATCACAAGGTCAGGAGTTCAGGAGCAGCGTGGCCAAGATGGTGAAACGCCATCTCTACTAAACATACAAAAATTAGCCGGGTGTGGTAGCAGGTACCTGTAATCCCAACTACTCGGGAGGCTGTGGCAGAGAATTGCTTGAACCCAGGAGTCCGAGGTTGCAGTGAGCCAAGATGGCACCACTGCACTCCAGCCTGGGCGACTCCGTCTCAAAAAAAAAGAATTAATGTTGCTGAGTAGAGAATAGATTGGGTAATGAAGGGTAAGGGTGGAACATAGAGACCATTTAGAAGGCTAATAGTAATCCCAGCTAGAGATGAGATGACAGGTGAAGTTTGTTACCTTTTTCCAAGAAAGCTTGGGAGACTCAATTGAGAAAACATCACTAAAGCCCCTCATACAGCCCATTTCACAGTTTTAACTCCCAGTTAAAACTTGTTAATTCCCTTTCTTTCCTTGGAGTTTGCCTTCAGCTGTATTAGGACCTTAAGGGGGAAGTTACTATGTAAAGATCAGCATCCACAAGGGAAGGGATTGTGAGCAGTACTTCAGTCACTTGACCCCAACAGAAGACCTTTTTTTTTTTTTTTTTTTTAATTTTTTTTTTTTTTTTTTTGACATTTTTTTTCTTGTCACCCAGGTTGGAGTGCAATGGCTCAGCCTTGGTTCACTGCAACCTCCACCTCCCTGGTTCAGGTGATTCTCCTGCCTCTGCCTCCCAAGTAGTTGGGATTACAGGCATGTGCCACCATGCCCAGCTAATTTTGTATTTTTACTAAAAAAAGGGGTTTCACCACTTTGGCCAGCCTGGTCTCATGGACAACTCTATTCTCATTAAGTCATTTACTCTTCAGTTCTTTCTGCAGTTGCTATCTTAGACATAGTTTGAGCAGCCTCTTTTACAAAGTAGCTTTTCAGCTACCTGGTCTTGCAAGCTGGAGCCCTCTGATACTCATCGTGACAAGGTAGTTTCATTTACCCGAGAGAGCCCTCTAAAGAAAATAAAGAGGTTTTTGTTGCCTTTGTTTAACTTTTGAGCTTTGCTCCCATTCCTTTTTTTGCTGTGATCTAAAGCCATAATTTTGCCACCTTGATTTAGAAGTTCATGTACTTCACCACATTCTGCTTATTTAGGAAAATTGCATTTCTGGTACATAAGGAGCTGGCATTGTTGACAGGGCTTCCTTCGCACAGAAGGCCACATCAATGTCGGCTTGCTTGGGCTATGTGTGTCTGGTTGGTAAACATTACTAATGAAACCCATGCCATCTTGACATGCCAGTACTGCCTGTACAAAGAGAGCTGCTGGCAGCCTATCATCTCCTTGCTTTAGTCAGGGAACAATGCATTTTTTTTGGCGATTGGGGTTGGTTCAGGAGGTCTTATTGTATGATAGACAAAAAGGAAGGGTGAATCCCCAGAAACTGATAAACAGAATTTGCTTTATCAGTGGTTAATTGTGCCTCCTAGGATGCTTTCCTCCTCTTTCTATTTAAAATTGAGTTCATATTACTGGCTCACAAGTCAGACATTGGGTACCTTTGCAATAATATACTATGCTGCCTCTAAAAATATCTGACTGGTCTCAACCCAGGGCTGTAAATGGGCTGAGCCAGGCCCTATGAGAGTCCGCTCTCTTCAAGAATGCTGAGACCTTACAAATGCGCCTGTTCTTTCCAGTTGTATGAATAGGTACTTTCCAGTTTTATTTCTCCCACCCACACATCTGTGGTAACTGAAAAATCATTTTAGCCATAGTGATAGTTGACAGCAAATTGTTACCACAGGTAAAGATATAAACATATTTTCAGCCAACACACTGCTAATTAAATTGCTTTATCTGTCTAAACTTGGGCCTTCTGCTACTCATATCCAGTGTTCCTACTATCTTTTACGAATGAGTTGCCTTGTGTTTCATGACCTTGTTTTTGTTCGTTACAGTGTGAGCCACTGCCCCATGTTGTGTTGATGCCGGTCTGCCATGCTAGCCTGTCTACCAGGGCCAGGTGACCCGTCCTTTCAGCTTCTTTGTCACACGCAGATGAACACTGGACTTCAGAAATGTAAGTAATCTGTATCCTAGGGAAACCTGTGTGAGTCTTTGTTTTTGTCCCTACATGT